GTTAAGTGGATTTACAAATTATATTATCTAGTTTTAACTAAACTAACCTTCACAAAATGGACAAATGGCTTAAAAACAGAATGTTGCTTTTCCACTTTTGCTAGATAGGGGGAATGCGTTTAAGAAATTGATAGGATCATAGTGACTTTCTTTTAATATTGTTCTAATTGTATTTAAAATCATACAATTTTAATCTAGAAAATGGGTATTTTTTTTTATTGAGAGCTATTGGTGCTGGCAGATCATTTCTTTGCTTCTCATATCGGAGACATTTTCAAAACTTGGATATCAAACTACCATCACTTGTAGCTACCAGTATTAGAAAGTGCAGAGCCATAAGTAAGTTTAATGATCAATTCAGAAAATAAATAATGCTTAGTTACCCTTTTAAAAAACATATTGGCTGACATAGACTTGCATTTGTATAAGGATATTAATTCACAACTGAAATTTGTTAAACATTGAATTTAACAAAGCCTATGGGGGAAAAGCACTTGTATATCTTTAAAAAATTGCTGGCACTGTCTAGCGTTGGGTACATGGATTGCATATGATTGATACAGTACATAGTAAGCTTAAAATAAGTGTTTGACTTAGTGTCACTGCTTTGCCAGTCTTTCAGGAAGCATTAGAATCTATTGCATGTTGATTGGCAATCAACAGTGCTTAACAGATGATAACTCTTTGGATTTTTCTTTTTCCTTTTTTAATTCCAACAGGAATTTCCCTTTTTTACCTTGACGTCCTTTCCACCAGGGTTCCTTGTCCATGTTGGTGGTGTTGTCAGTGCACGCTCTGTAAAGCTGCTGGATCGCATCCATAATCCTGGTATGTTGGCAAAATATATCTTTTGTGTGTCATGTCATATTTTCATTACTTTCCATTTTTTTCAAAATACTTTTTAAAACCTTGTAGTATAATTATTGTAGTTTTTAAAGTAAGAATAACAGTGTCCAAAACTGCTTTTTCAGAAATGGTACATTTCAGTAATTTCTTCTTAATGATTTGGGTGTAAAGTAGTAAAGGACTGTTAACCCACTAATCTAATGCCAGCTAATACCTTTTGATTTTGGCCAGTGTTTAATATTCGAATTGTGCAAGTCTGAGGTGAAAGTTATGAAAGGAAATAAACCCTTTGTTTAACATTTTAAATTTTAATTTCCAGCCATTTTACATCCTTAAAGATTAAGATTAGCCATTATGATTTAGCTCAGCCTGTGCCTTTTAAAAATGACATGGTATACATTGGAACAAAGTTGAAGGTATTTTTATAACAAGTACAAATCTTAACACAGTTTTCTGTAAATAATCTTTTTCCT